TTGTACTTTCAGCCACTTTTGCCCTAATAATTGGATTTGGTTCTTCTGGTAATCTTCCTCTTTAAATCCTCTTTTTTGAAGTTACATTTTAAAGTTGTTTTTCATTTTCTCATAGATGAATTGGGAAAGTTCAGGTGTATGTCAACCCGGGTTAGCTGAATGGCAAGTTTAGTCGTGATAAGCATCGTAGAAACTATATCATGAGTTTGAATCTCATGAATCTTGATCCCCTTCAGCCACTTTCTAGGTTTGTACGGACTATGTGTATGGAACAGAACAGCATGTATCCTAGAACTAGTTGAGTGAAGTCTCGAATACCTTTTGATGCAGGAGGATTAAAGACAGGCTGTGAGTACTGTAAAACAGACTTTCTGTGGGTTTTTATTGGGTTTTTATTGTTGCTTAAAGCTGAAAATCAATAAGAATTTTAGGAATTCAAGTAATGAATGGAATGAAACCGGGTGAAAGAGATCAAAACAGGGGCTGTTCTGGGTGTGTGAACAGTACCCGTGAACAGTAATTAGGCTGTGGAAGTGCTGAAATTTAAGGAAGAAATAAAAGAAAATAAGAAGATAGGTCTAGACATCGCACCTAGATTCCATATACATCGCACTTAGGGTTTGATTGCATCACACAACCCATAAAGAAGTTTCAAAGCTCTTTAACTTTTATAAAATATCAACTCTATTGAATTATAAGCATCATATGACTTTATATAGGATTAAGAGACTTCCTAAACCAACTAGAACTAAAATAGGAAACTACCTAAATATTTTTGACTTTCAAAACTAATTTAAGACTAAATAAGAAACAAAAATAAAGACTAATTAAATAATTTGACTCACAAGACGACTCATGGGCGACTCCTGCAGCTCATGTAGGCAAATATAAAATTATCAAAATACCCCTCGCCTAAAAATCCTACAAACATAAAAATAATCATAAAATAAAACTATAATAATATTAGAAACGTGATTATGTATAGCTCCTATCGATTTCTCTTTGAAACCATTCCAATTTTCAAATATCGTCACTTTTTTAAATTTACTCTTCTATGAGGTTCTTATATTCCGCATCACTTTTGTTAAATTGTTACCCAAAAAATAAGGTATACAGCCATAGTGAGAATCTTCATTAATCAAGTGGGGTTAGTTCAGTTGCTAAAATCATTACACCTCACTAGAAGTTCAATCTTAATAGATTAGCTGAGTGACAAGTTGAGTAGTGGTAAGTGTTTCAAAAAACTAGATTACAAGTTCAATTGTCATGAAGCGCTTGACTCCTTTGTGACCATGCTATGACTTGCTCTCGATATGTATAGAACAGGAAAATTGCAAATCTGACAACTAGTTAGGACAAAGTTTTGACTACCCTTGTAACTAAAAATAAAGTATAGGACCATAGTGCAAGTTTTCATCAACTAATTGGGACTATTTCAGTTGGCCAAAATCCTTAAACTTGAGATTAAGAGTTAAAACTGCCCCTCCCTGGACCTCCAATGTACAACATAAAAAATAAAACAAAAAAACTTTCATCAATATATGACCAATAATTGGGAATATCCTCAATAAATTTTGAAAAGCTAAGGGTCCTGTAAGTCCTCCATAAGGCAGATTTGAGGTGAAGAAAAGTTTCTTCACCAATTTGTTGGTTACTAATTTATCCAGTCTGAAGATTGGACATTTCTGCAAGTCTAGTCAACTCTTTTTTCTTTTCTTTTTTTTTTAATATATATATCTTGTGTTCATCCCCCAAATTTGAGTCCCTCTTATACACATTGCACTCTTTCTTCTTTCCTCAAACGCGCAAGTATTGGCAATTCTAGGGACTAGTTTGGCATGGAAGAAACTGATTCAAATAAGCAAGTTTCAATAGAAATCGAGTTGAACAAACATCTGGCCTGTTCCCTCAGAGACAAGCTGTGCAATGAATCTCCATCCCTCTCCGGGAATTGCATCTTCAAAGTCCCAAGGACACTCAGAAGGTGCAATGAGAGCATTTACAAGCCTAAAATAGTCTCCATAGGCCCTTTTCACTATGGAAAGGAAAGACTTGCACCGATGGAGAAAATAAAACTGTGGTACTTGCATAGCCTCCTGGCCCGTCTACCGCCCCTAGCTCAAGAAGAAACTTTGCTGCACTTCATAGTGAGCATTAGGGAGGTAGCGAAATACACTAGCAACTGTTATGCAGGAAGGCTCAATCAGAGCGAAGATGAGCTGGTGGAAATGTGTAGAAATTTAATGTATAAAGAGAAATGATTGTATTATTGATACATATTGATATCTATTACAATGATTCATGATTCCTATATATAGAAGAGGGTGAGTGTGTAGTAGGTAAGGAGTAGGTGAAGTGGAGGTGGTAGTGGTGTAGTGGGTTAGGTTTAGTGGAGTAGGTGAGATGGTAGTGGTGTAGTGGGTTAGGTTTAGTGGAGTAGGTGAGATGGTAGTGGTGTAGTGGGTTAGGTTTAGTGGAGTAGGTGAGATGGTAGTGGTGTAGTGGGTTAGGTTTAGTGGAGTAGGTGAGATGGTAGTGGTGTAGTGGGTTAGGTTTAGTGGAGTAGGTGAGATGGTAGTGGTGTAGTGGGTTAGGTTTAGTGGAGTAGGTGAGATGGTAGTGGTGTAGTGGGTTAGGTTTAGTGGAGTAGGTGAGATGGTAGTGGTGTAGTGGGTTAGGTTTAGTGGAGTAGGTGAGATGGTAGTGGTGTAGTGGGTTAGGTTTAGTGGAGTAGGTGAGATGGTAGTGGTGTAGTGGGTTAGGTTTAGTGGAGTAGGTGAGATGGTAGTGGTGTAGTGGGTTAGGTTTAGTGGAGTAGGTGAGATGGTAGTGGTGTAGTGGGTTAGGTTTAGTGGAGTAGGTGAGATGGTAGTGGTGTAGTGGGTTAGGTTTAGTGGAGTAGGTGAGATGGTAGTGGTGTAGTGGGTTAGGTTTAGTGGAGTAGGTGAGATGGTAGTGGTGTAGTGGGTTAGGTTTAGTGGAGTAGGTGAGATGGTAGTGGTGTAGTGGGTTAGGTTTAGTGGAGTAGGTGAGATGGTAGTGGTGTAGTGGGTTAGGTTTAGTGGAGTAGGTGAGATGGTAGTGGTGTAGTGGGTTAGGTTTAGTGGAGTAGGTGAGATGGTAGTGGTGTAGTGGGTTAGGTTTAGTGGAGTAGGTGAGATGGTAGTGGTGTAGTGGGTTAGGTTTAGTGGAGTAGGTGAGATGGTAGTGGTGTAGTGGGTTAGGTTTAGTGGAGTAGGTGAGATGGTAGTGGTGTAGTGGGTTAGGTTTAGTGGAGTAGGTGAGATGGTAGTGGTGTAGTGGGTTAGGTTTAGTGGAGTAGGTGAGATGGTAGTGGTGTAGTGGGTTAGGTTTAGTGGAGTAGGTGAGATGGTAGTGGTGTAGTGGGTTAGGTTTAGTGGAGTAGGTGAGATGGTAGTGGTGTAGTGGGTTAGGTTTAGTGGAGTAGGTGAGATGGTAGTGGTGTAGTGGGTTAGGTTTAGTGGAGTAGGTGAGATGGTAGTGGTGTAGTGGGTTAGGTTTAGTGGAGTAGGTGAGATGGTAGTGGTGTAGTGGGTTAGGTTTAGTGGAGTAGGTGAGATGGTAGTGGTGTAGTGGGTTAGGTTTAGTGGAGTAGGTGAGATGGTAGTGGTGTAGTGGGTTAGGTTTAGTGGAGTAGGTGAGATGGTAGTGGTGTAGTGGGTTAGGTTTAGTGGAGTAGGTGAGATGGTAGTGGTGTAGTGGGTTAGGTTTAGTGGAGTAGGTGAGATGGTAGTGGTGTAGTGGGTTAGGTTTAGTGGAGTAGGTGAGATGGTAGTGGTGTAGTGGGTTAGGTTTAGTGGAGTAGGTGAGATGGTAGTGGTGTAGTGGGTTAGGTTTAGTGGAGTAGGTGAGATGGTAGTGGTGTAGTGGGTTAGGTTTAGTGGAGTAGGTGAGATGGTAGTGGTGTAGTGGGTTAGGTTTAGTGGAGTAGGTGAGATGGTAGTGGTGTAGTGGGTTAGGTTTAGTGGAGTAGGTGAGATGGTAGTGGTGTAGTGGGTTAGGTTTAGTGGAGTAGGTGAGATGGTAGTGGTGTAGTGGGTTAGGTTTAGTGGAGTAGGTGAGATGGTAGTGGTGTAGTGGGTTAGGTTTAGTGGAGTAGGTGAGATGGTAGTGGTGTAGTGGGTTAGGTTTAGTGGAGTAGGTGAGATGGTAGTGGTGTAGTGGGTTAGGTTTAGTGGAGTAGGTGAGATGGTAGTGGTGTAGTGGGTTAGGTTTAGTGGAGTAGGTGAGATGGTAGTGGTGTAGTGGGTTAGGTTTAGTGGAGTAGGTGAGATGGTAGTGGTGTAGTGGGTTAGGTTTAGTGGAGTAGGTGAGATGGTAGTGGTGTAGTGGGTTAGGTTTAGTGGAGTAGGTGAGATGGTAGTGGTGTAGTGGGTTAGGTTTAGTGGAGTAGGTGAGATGGTAGTGGTGTAGTGGGTTAGGTAAAACCGATTAAGCCAGCTACTGTAAGAAGGTATGGTTGGCTGTCTACAGAGTCTGGAACAGAAGCTTCAGCAATGGCAATTACGGAAGATACCAGCACGATGATCAGAGTCAGCTCTGGAATAGGAGTATATGCTATCACTGCTGAGTAGAAAGCTCGAATGGTGTAAAGTGTAGTTTCTATTCCTCTGATCAGAGAAGTTACTGGATCACCAATGAAATGGAAAATAAGGGCCAGTGCAAGTTTTAAGAGGTATCCCACGAACTGGGTAATAGTTGATAAAACCTTTTTCCAGTTGGACAACTCCCACAAGACTGTTCTCCAGGCATACAAAAGGAAAGCAAGAGCTATGAACCAAGGCCACCTAACAAGTGGGCTTGGGGCTTCCTTGGTCAAGGGCCTGAACCGGTCAGGCACGGTACTGTGCCCAGAGTGTACCCAGTAAAGGGTAGTAGAGAGGGATGATTGTGAAGAGGACAATTTCGAAGCTGCCGTTGCTGACTTGGATGACGCCGATGAAGGTGGTGATGATATTTTAGCGAAAGTGACTTTCGACATGAATGAAGTGCCTACAAGGGTTCCACCAGATAGCCCTTTGGCACCTCAATGGTATAGACTAGAGCATCGGAAAGGTGAGACCAAGGTGAAAGGAGAGGAGGTATGTGTTGAGGTCCGGCGGGCGGCCAAGGCGAGACTGCCGCCCGCCGGTGAAGCGAAAAAATATTAAATTCTTAACCTTGCTCTGATACCATGTAATAATTTATGTATTATTGATTGATGTCTTGATTGATAGATAACAAGATGCTCTATTTGTTACAATGATTCATGATTCCTATATATAGAAGATGGTGAGTGTGTAGTAGGTAAGGAGTAGGTGAAGTGGAGTTGGTAGTGGTGTAGTGGGTTAGGTTTAGTGGATTAGGTTTAAGTGGGTGAAGTAGGTGGAGAGTAGGTGGTGTAGTGGGTTAGGTTTAGTGGATTAGGTTTAAGTGGGTGAAGTAGGTGGAGAGTAGGTGGTGTAGTGGGTTAGGTTTAGTGGATTAGGTTTAAGTGGGTGAAGTAGGTGGAGAGTAGGTGGTGTAGTGGGTTAGGTTTAGTGGAGTAAGTGGAGGTGGTAGTGGTGTAGTGGGTTTAGTGGAGTAGGTGAGGTGGTAGTGGTGTAGTGGGTTAGGTTTAGTGGAGTAGGTTTAAGTGGGTGAAGTAGGTGGAGAGTAGGTGGATTTTAACAAAATGATGATCCTCGATGGATGCTTCCTACTAGAGCTTTTCAGAAGAGAAGCATGGTTAGTCCCTCGACACAACGATGATCCTATATTCAACACGTCCTGGATGCGTGAAAATCTCTATCATGACTTGATTCTGCTTGAAAACCAGATTCCTTGGCTTGTTCTCTGCCGCTTGTTTGATCTAACCATGTCTACTAATGAACAAGAAACCAATTTCCTAGTCAATCTTGTCCTCAAATTCTTTGAAACCATGATGCTGGTGACCGTACCATCTGACAACGAATCAATATGTCGTGAAAATTTCAAGCACATTCTGGACTTAATCCACCGAACTTTGCTGTCCTTATCATCCGAAAATACCAAACCAACAAACACAAACTGGGAACTTTTTCCCTCAGTGACGGATCTCTTACGGGCCGGTGTCAGGTTCGAGAAGGGTCCTCCTGACGACATCACGAACATCAAGTTTCGCAATGGCGTGTTCGAAATCCCACCAATAAAGATCCGAGGAAACTCAGAATCGTTGTTTCGCAATCTCATAGCGTATGAGCAATGCGATTGCCAGTGCACCGACAAGTTCACATCCTATGCCGTGTTCTTGGACTGCCTCATCAACACAAGCGCGGATGCAGATTTCCTCCGTGATAGGAGAATTGTTATGCCTGCTTTGAGCACTGAAGATGTGTCCATTCTTTTCAATGGCCTTTACAATAACACTCTTGTTTATGATTTTTACTATGGTGATGTGTCTATGGAGGTGAATCAATATTACAGGTCTCAGTGGCCTAGGTGGAGAGCAATTCTCAAACGTGATTACTTTAACAATCCATGGTCTATTGCTTCCTTTATTGCTGCTATTGTAATACTAGTTCTTACCTTTTTACAGACCTTGTTTACCATCCTCTCTTACTAAGTCTAAGAGGTCCTACCCATCAATATGTAATATGTAATGTAATAATTGCAATGCTTGTTATTGTTATTGTTCCACCTTGTCAGTGTGATTCGATAAATTTTATAGAACCCATGAAGTCTTATGTGAATCCATCCTTGATACAAAACTGAAAAACTTATCCTCCAACTTGTTGGATTTGTGGTGTCTGATTAGTACTATACATCTCACCATGTGCATTCACGGGTCCAACTGGTGATGTAAATCCTAGCATATATTTTGTTGTTTCTTGTCAATATAGTGAAAGTGTGAGATGTGGATGTAGTCAATCTTATAGAATCATGAATATCTTTGTGTTCTGCTTTTCTTATTTGTGATTGATTCTACTTGCTATTGTGTGTGTGGTTTATTTCAAAACACAACCAACAAAACTGAAAGGTTCGGTTCAGTGTAAAATTCTCTCAAGATGTGATAGCATCTTGAAGAAGAGAGAAATTTTCAGATGGAAAGATCAATTCTGGTGATAAAAATTTGCCATTAACTTGGAGTTTTTGCATCTTTATTGACATATTTGGGGGGTATTGTAATCGATGGCTCACTAATTTGGGACCAACTATAATGTTTTCATGTTTTTGAGAAGTTTCAATGCAGTTTTAGATGTTAAAACCTTCAATGCAGAAACATGTAGCATCTCATTCCCGACCTTGCAGTATTTGTTTTATCAGGAATGTTTGTGCTTCGTTATTGTTGCCACTGTTGTGATTGTTTTGAGCGTTTTTTCTTTTCTTTTTTTTTTTTTTTCTTTTCCTCCTTGATGCTTTGTGCAAACATCAACAATGATATATATAGCACCATAGGTATTGCTTATGAGAGTCAATAGAAGATAGAACCTACAGAACTCAAAACACATGGGAAACAACCATAAATCAAAACCCATGTAAAAAACATCTGTTTTAGCAAGGCAAATCCAACCATGAACAATCCTACATAGTAGAATTCACAAGAAAATGATCAAAACATCAAAATCCATGTAAAAAAACCTCAGTCTATGAGCACTCCAACTATGAACAATCCAACAGAGAAGAATTAATGCCCATATCAAAAACATCAGGCTATGACGACAAGTTTGCTGTACTCTTCACCAGCTATAGCTAATTCCATGGTGCTTTCAAGGTTCGAAACCCCACCTTCCTCCAAAAACATCTTCAGCTAGTTCTTCGAAAACCCGCTGACAAGCGCCACGCCTTTCTGACAACTTGGCACCGGAGTAGCATCTGAGTTTTGAAGGTTCCAAAACACAATTTCCGGTACTGATTTGTATCCACTCTCATCAAATTTTCTACATATTGCTTCCAAGTCGGTCTCCCAAGGATTTGCAGAAGCTTGATCAAACTCCATATCACTGAACACAAACAGCCTCTCTATCATCTGTTCTTCACTGAGCTTTCCTTTATTTGCTACTTCCAAAATTTTATCAAACACCTTTTGAAAATCCGTGTTCATCGACCAATTCATTCGTTCTATGGATCGAACCTTAGACAAAAGAATGTCTCCTTCAATCACATGGAGTCGTGGATCATGGCTGAAAGTGATTAGCTTCCCTTTCCATGGCTCCACTTAACTCTGAAACTAGCAATCCGAGCGCAACAGAGACTTTAAGCGGTACACCATACATGCTTCCCGAGACATCACAGATGGCGAGGCAGTTTTTCAGCTTCCCAATCATTGATAAATCATCGACTATTCTTTGCCATTGTAACTCTGCAACTTGGCCAGATTCTCCAGAATCCAACGAGGCTATGATCTCATGGGGAGGCAATGCTCCGGCTGCAATTTTCTTCTTTCCATGCTTCACATTGTCAAGATACTCTTGGAATCGCTTCTCGTCATGCTTTAAAAATAACTCTTTGTAGTTTCTCATCGCGATTGAGGTGACTCGGGTATAAGGAAGCACATTCCATTGATTAGCACTCATGTAAATCTCCGGTAACTTGAGGACTTTACGGAGTGGTACTAAAACTTCTTTGCGTAGATGGTCTCTGACTCTATATGCATAATGAGCTTCATCAATTCCTTCATATTCTGGATGTGAATCTAGCAGAAATAGCCTCTTTGCTATGCTTTCACATAAGAGAGTCGAACGATCCAAAAACGAATAAAGAGGACACCATTTAGCAGCAAAGCTAATATTTTTCAAGTTACTAGCATTCACATTGTCTAAATCAGGTTTGAGAGCATCAGCAAAGACTTGGGCCACTTGATTGTGTAAAAACTGGTAAATTGGATCGTTGTAGTACCTTTCGACGCCCTTTTTGGCTGCATTGATTCTGTCCTTTTTGCTTGTGCGTTTTATTCTCCCTAAATACCAAGTACTTCCCTTTGTGCTCTTTCTTTCTTTTCTCTGCCTTCTCATGTTTTCGAACATCAGGGCCTTCAAGCAGGCGATAAAGTATTTCGAGCAAGTCCTTGAAGTACCCGAATTCTGCAAATGATGTGACATTGCAAGCTAGTGTTTTCAGGTGATTTTGGTGTATCCACAAGGCTGATGCATAGAACCCCTCTCTATCCCCCTTTCCGGTCCCTCTAATACCTCTCAATTGACAAACAAATTTTAGAGCTGTCAATGGGTTTTGATCCCAATCCAATTTTAAGCGTCGCGTTACTTGATCTGCCGGTGTATCAGGGACTACATGGAAGAATAAATCAACACACGGGTTTCCACTGGAAAGGTACGTAGGAGAGTGGTTTTTGGTGAAACCCATAAACGGTTTTGGTGGAGGAAAGAGGTGGACAGTGTTATTGTAGTTTGAGACCATCAAATTCATGAAAGGGTCAGTGATAGTTTCTGGGCTTTGATCAGTAGGAGTAGATTCTGACTTCGATTCACATTTGAATTTTCTGTTTACTCTCTTGATGAGTAAGTTGGAATTCAGAGAAGGCGCGGTGCCGTAGATTTCTGGTGGGCCAAGGAGTGGAAATGGAGGAGGATTGGTTTCTGATCTTTCCATGGTAAGATGGGAGACACCGCGGTTTATGAGTTGTTGATGAAAATTCATAATACAAATTCCCTTTAAATTGCTAGTCCACCTGAGAGTTAAGGGGCTCATTTTTTTGGTATCTGAAAGAGAAAAGGATCATATTAGCACAAAAATATATATACATTTTTAAAAATCATGTGCATTGCTTGAACTGAAACAAAACAATTTGGAAGCTAATTGTCTTTGGCATGGAATGAAAAGTCTGAAACAGAGCATAATATCATACCTAACATAAAAGTTTTTTACTTTCAAATGTACAACAAGAAATACATATACATGATAAAGAAAAAAAGTTTACCCAAAAATTCAATACATTAGATGAGTATCTATTATGTGGAATGTTCCTATTTCTTACTTCGTAATTGTAACCATACTTATTGCTTGTTCATTCATGGCATACAATGTAAGACGGCGTACATCTGATTTTAATTAAATATGTATTAGCAAGAGTCTCGTGCATTAGGACTTTCTGTTAATCTCTTTCAAAAAAGTTTGTAATGTTATCAAAATGAATGATAGATGACACAATTCAGACATTAAGAACCAACCCTGCAGTGTTAAATTATAATTGATTTAATTTAATCACCATAAAATAGTGTACAACAATGAATATATACACAGTATCTGTTTAGCAACAACATCATATGAAGGCAAAAGCAAAGAAGATCCAAGGAGTCCAAAAACTAGGGTTAGAAAATTGCCATAAATTTTGGGCTTCAGCCTAATTTATAAAATTACAAAACAAACAAAAAAAAAAATGGACATATAATACTAAAAGAAATGGAATTGGAACACCTAGATAAGGAAAATTACAAAAGAAATATATAAATATGGGCCAAAACCATAAATGTGACATCTTTTGGGAATATACAAGATTGGAAAATGATTCAGAATTATGAACTATTATAGTAGGGGTTTTGATTTAAAATGAAATGCCAGACACGATGATATCATTATGTATAAAAATTTTGCAAAAATATTTTGTTTATATATCATTTCTCAAACCCATTAATTTGCAATTCCAATTTCGTTAACTAAACAGATCTGAATACCTAGCCTAAAGTAAAATTACAATACAAAACAAACGATATTTTAATGATAAAAGAAAATAAAATTATGATAAAATGGTAAGAACATGAAGGAGAATAGAATTACAGAAGATTAGAGTTGGAGAATCAAAGCCTTATAGTAGTTATTTACTGGAGGTGAAAATTTAAAAATTGAATTATAGTTTTGAAAAAAAGTGTGAACAATTAAATTTTTTATGGGTATACTTGAAAGCAAAAAAATGTACACCTTATGGAACAACCGACCTTAAAGAAAATTGGGAAAACTATAACTAGTGTGAATGTCCTGGAGAGAGAGAGAGAGAGAGAGAGAGAGAGAGAGAGAGTGGGGTTGGGAAGGAATTGTTAGGAGGTTTAAGAAGGGTTTAACAAGAGAGAGAGGGAGAGAGAAGGAATTTTGTAGAGGTTTAAGGTCTTGGTAGTTATCGAAGAGAGAGTTTTGTGAAAGAAAAAATTGGTTGCGTGGCCTTCAAGTAATTAATTTCCATAAAATGACATGCATTTTTGGTTTTAGTTAATTTAAAAAAAAATTATGCTATTTTTTTTTTTTTTTTTGGAAACATTTTTTTTGCCTACACACTACATCACTTTGTTTCCAAAAAAAAAAAAACAGAGAGAGAGAGAGAAGAAAATTATTTAAAACAAAAACAAACCAAATTTTATCAAAGCCTATTAAAATTAGTTTATGTTTGGTTTTTCAATTTTTTATTTTATTTTTAATTTTTAGGATCCTTTAATCTAGATAGATTTTAAAAATAATATACTTTGATTCAAAATTGAAAAGTATTCATTAAAGACAAAAATAAACTTAAAAAATATGAGAACTTAAAATTGTATCCAAGAAATCCTTAATCTTACTTGAAAAAAAGAGAAAATTTTATTTTTACTCCTATACTTAGTCACGATTTTCAATTACACC